CGCATCTGCAATTGCGGATGTCTATGGGCAGTCGCTTCGCCATTTTGGCGGATTCAAGTGGCCGCTTGCTCGTCTGCCACCTTGTGTTATATAAAAAAAATGTAATAAAGAGGAAAGCTTTGTATTTTTGTATGTATCAAATAACTCAAAAATTTAGACCCATTTTATAAATTCAATCATCATTAAAAAGCTGCATTATCAAACAGGCAATATTTTTTATTATTGGTTTCATGCGGGCGAAGTCGCGAGCATTATAGTGTGTTAAATTAACATATGCGATTAATGTTTTTTATGTGATTTCGTACACTTACACATTGATATCTATGTAGTACTATTTTTTTAAATTGTCATCCCACTAAAAATAATTTCTGTTTCCCTTAGAATCGTGAAGTTTCCGTCAATATGGAAGTATATCATACTTCATACTAATATTATAAATGCGAAAGTTTAGATGGATGGATGGATAGATGGATGTTTGTTAGAGTTTGTAGCTTAAACGGCTGAACAGATTTCGATGAAATTTGGTATAGTTGTAGAAAATAGTCTGGAAGAACACATAGGCTATTCACTTTTGTTTTTTTTTTAATACCACGCGGACGGAGTTGCGAGCGAAAGGTAGTGAACAAATAAATCAATTATATACATTTAGCAGTTTATGGTAGATACTAGCCGCAATCATGAAAATATTATTTTATGCAAATGTCAAAATGACGACATTACAATCCTTGGCAATTTTGCTTCCTTGATGTTGGCAACAACTTATGGTCTCTTTCCCTTCTTTTAGGGTTTTTATCCAAAATATTTACGCCCTAAGTTTAATTGCGTGAAATAAATAGCCTAAAGCGTGACGTAAGTGTAGGGCTTTTTATTAAAGAAAGAACTATTCAAAAATATGCTGTAATTGCTGACATCTTAGGCCACAAAGATGTGTGTGTTTACGCTTTATTGTAATAGTATATATTAATATTTGTACCTTTTTTGAAATCTCAAGGGTTTCTTTGTTAATTTTGAATGCGATTAAAACTTCATTAATTCAAGTGTTTTTCAGACGACGTCGGAAAGTCACGAACAGAATGAAGAAGAGGAGGCGCAGCGTTTTGAGCAGGAGAGAAGAGAACGAGAAAAACAGAAGAATATCAAGAAGAAGGCGAGGAAATTAAGGCTTCGGTTGCTTAATACGTGAGTAAAACGTCCCGTGTTGAACAGACTGTAGAATCTTACTTCTTATCTTACTAATATTTTAAATGCGAAAGTTTAGATGGATGGATGTTTGTTAGAGGGTGTTGCCTAAACTGTATAACGGATGTTTATGAAATTTGTCATAGATATAGAACATAGTCTGGAAGAACACATAGGCTACTTACTTTTTTTTAATTCTACATGGACTATGCCGGGAGCAAAAGCTATTCATACCTCATACTAATATTATGAATGATAGTTTGGATGGATGGATGTTTGTTAGAGTGTGTTGCCTAAACTGTAGAACGGATTTCCATTAAATTTGGTATAGATGTAGAGGATAGTCTGGAAGAACACATTGGATACTTACTTTTTTTTTAATTCCACGCGGACGGAGTCGCGAGCAAAAGCTGCTATAGAATAAATAACACACATTGTACACTTGGCATTGTTTTTTTATTTGTATTGATTTTGACTAATTTTAAATATTGAAAAACGTTATTTTTAGGAGCCTAAACGACGATCAGATACCAACCTACGATCATATTGGAATTCCCTTTGGTAATAAAATGTTCAAAGTCATACAACAGATTTCAAATATTATTACACCTTTGTATGAAGAACAAGATACGTCACAACAAAATGGCGACACAGAAGATAAAACTAATAATAAAAAAATAATCAACGGAGATATAAATGACAGACAAAACGAACAGAATGGAATAGAAAATAATAACAACACAGATATTAAAATAATACAAGAGAAAGAACCTAAAAAGAAGAAGAAGAGGAATAAAGAAGTTGATAGCGGGAAAGAGAATGCGAAGAATAATGCCCCTTCAGTCTGCAGCTCTCAAAGTGATACTTCTAGAAGTAGTAAGAAGGAGGCGAAAGTTTGCGTCACGTTTGATCAAGTCCTTCTAGAAAGAAATCTCAATGAATTGTATAGAATGATAGAAAAAATTGATAAGGTAAGTTTTTTAAATACCGATAGCATAAGGTGACAAAATAAGAATTTTCAAAATTCGCAAAAATAGCGAAGCGCTAAGACATCCACATTTGTAAATGTTCTCGTGCGGCTTCATCAACATGAAGTTACAAAAACTTTAATTTATTGTTTACATTTGTCAAATTATCAAATGGCTGCGTTCCACTTTGCGTTTGGGCAGTTCGCCTTTTGGGCGAATTCACGTGGCTGCATCTCACCAGGTGGTCTATATACAGTTCGCCTATACTGCGAATTTAAGTGGCTGCATCTCATCAGATGTCTTTAGGCAGTTCGCCTTTTAGGCGAATTCACATGACTGCATCTTACCGGGTGGTCTATAGGCAGTTCACCTAATCGGCGAATTCACGTGGCTTGGTCTCACCCGGTGGTCGAAAGTAGTTCGCCTTTTCGGCGAATTCAGTTAGCTGCTAGTATAATATTTGGTGTAGTTCTACCCGGAGCTGGCGGTGTCGGGCAGCGTGAGTGCGCAGAAGATGTACGGGCTGCGCGCTGTCGGACAGATGTTAGCGCTCGCCTCGCAGCGGGAGGACCTCGCCGCTCACTTCACTCCCAAGTTAGTGTTA